GTCTAAACTCGTGTTTGCCATTCACAAATTATCAAACAATAGATTGTTTATTCCAGTAAGCTACAGCAGTCTTTCTGCACATACAAATAAACAACATGCTTTTGCTTCGTAGGTTCGCTTCGCATAGCCTTGCTTAGATTGTTTATAACAGGCTACGATGTATCTACGAAGCCTGCGCGCAGGTGAGATTGTTTATATCAGGCTACGATGTATCTACGAAGCCTGCACGCAGGTAAAAGTGCAATATTTCATGGCGGTACTGTACATGATAGTCAAAGGCATGTGATGCAGTAGTAAGGTGTTGGGCTTTCAATTAAGATGGTTGGTCTGGAGGCTGACTGTCATCACACTGCATGGGCAAGACACTTTGTCTACCAAGAGCCTGTATAGATACTGCACATGGTGGGATGTCAATAACTAATGCTCTGTCTGCACTATCAAACTTCTTTTGTGACAAATCTGTATGATGTGCCCATGTATGGGCATGATGATATCGCAATAAGAATGCCCAAACATGGGCATAACACATTTAACCACATGATAGTGTGGACATGGATAAAGAATATGTCCAAAAAACAATGGCCAGGGAACAAGTTCTTTCTAAAATGAACATGTGTGCTATATAAATTTAAAATGTGTTTACAGAAGTGGTTTAGTGCGCAGGTTCTGTTCCTGTTCCTTCAGCTTAGAGGCTCAAATTACCACTGTCCATTTGCTTGTGTCTTTCTAAAGAATTTTGTCTACATGGCCTTTTCTTACTTATCTGATGTGTACTTATTAAATGTGAATATTTTTTGTAAAAAATGTTCCTGTTAGAAGAGGGAGTCACAATGTTTTCAATAACTAGGATAAGAATGGTTACTCTTGGAAACACCACAGAAAGTGCTATAATGCCATAAATACATTAGCATTATTATTATTACACACTTTGTCAATCAACCCAGTAAAACAAATCAATGAGGTACTGTACTTATTTTAGTCCTTGGTTGAGAGAAACCAATGTAAATAAGGTGCCATGGCTGAGGACACAAGGAAAATAAACAGCAATGGAAATAAATCCCCAACCTCAGTTTTAGTTTGAAATTGCAAATGCTGCATTAACCATGGTGTTTCAGTGTAAAAATAAGAAAGTTACAAAACCTTAATGCATAGTTGAAAGCTTCAGTCAAGAAATGAAAACTTTCCTAGCATCCTGGAAAAAATATACTCACCCTCTTGTGTAGCTACTAGAAGTAGGCGGATAGTCTTTTTCTCTGATGTCATAACCATACACATTGATCACATCTCTGTATGACTTTGGTCCTTGCTCCTCTAACAAAAAGCGATCATGTGACCACTTCCCTTTGTCATCCCAGAGTTTCTTTTTTGCAGGTCTATCAAAAAAGTAATGAGATCATTATAAAGTATACATGATTCACAACACATTTACTGTATATCACCACTAAATTTCATTTTATACTAGATCACCACTGCAAATATGCTAAAACAACAACAAAAGTCATAAGGTACTAAGAACAAAGTAAAAACAAAGAAAAAAATACATCACAAAAACGGCTTCTGTAAAACCAGATACTTTTGTAACATGAAATTTTGCGAATTGAGAAAATCGAAAGGTTTTCATTTTTTTTTGCCAGAATGAAAATGTTTTAGCCAAATTTAAAAACCAATAAAATTTCACAAAAACGGCTCCATAAATGAATTTCTTGCTTATTTATTTCTTACTCATTTGTAACCAGTCGTAAAGGTGGTAAGAACAGTATTAATGATTGAATTGACTACAAAGGAAACACAAACGATATGCAGTAACGGCGGCTACCGGACCTGCTCTAGTGGGAGTATACTTGAAAGTGCTTCACTTTTTGATGCATCACAAGTACTGTTCCCAACAGTACAGTAGGCCCTACCAGTTGTTTTGATCTACAGATGTAACTATCAATAAAATTTATACTTTTATATTTTTTTAACATCCATTTTCAGTCTTACAGGTATGTATTTTTTCTAAACACGACACATTCTTCGTCGTCACGATGACCCTTCCAGAGGGTTGGAGACCGCGCATCCAAAACTCTGCTGCCAATTGGTAAAATTTTTTCTGGGGGTGCGTGCGATAGTGGTGTGCAAACATGTACTGCGATTGGGATGACGTCAGATCGCACAAATTTCACAGTATGTGACAGGTAGAAGTAGTAGTGAAGAGTGCATGATTATGCCAATGACAAAGTGATAACTGGCATACTTAAGAAATGATCAATTTAGATATATAAATGATCAATTTAGGTACTACACTATCAATAATAAGCTGAATTGGAACACAAACTCAAATGTAACATATATAAATCTTGTCAAAGACTGCACTTCCTTAGGAATAATTTCTTGTTGACAATACTATTTTAAAACTATTTTATAAATCAATTGTACAAAGTATTTTAACCTACAATATTGTTTGTTTTTATGGTAATATCATGGACCTAATAAGATTAATAGGTCCATGGTAATATGTCTAAAATATGTAAAATCGTTAAAGCTGCTCGCGGTAGCATAGGTACCAAAAATTGAATCTCTTTATGAAGATCGCATTTAAAACTACTGTGATAATAAAAGACAGCACTCATTCTTTGCATGAGTTATTAAAATTTAATTGCTCAGGATTCAGATTGTGTGTTCCTAATACGTGCCATGCTAGATATCGTAACTATTTTGTTATCAACTCCATCCATCTTTTTAATGAACACACTATTAGTTAGTACACTAAAGTCTTTTTACATTACCTTTATGTATTTTTAGATTTTTTTATTATGTATCATTTTAATCGGTCGAAGCCTTTTATGTATCATTTTAAATGGTACGAGTTCTGAATTTTTATCAATTTTATTATTCTTTTTAATGGATCAAATTTAGATATCTCTACAAGACGTTTTAAATATTTTTTATCAATTGTATTTTAACTTTAATCTTGCCTTATGTTTTGTATTGCCAGAGGAAAAGAAATTTCCAGTTGTTTTATTAGACAATAAATGTTATCTAATCTTATCTTTAATTCAAAGAAACCATAATGGTTTTATTTTAGAGATAAATAAATAACAAACAAACAAATAACAAATTTAAATTAAATGAGTGAGGCTATGTATTTTTGTAATCTAGTGATTTTTTTTTTATGTGTTAATGGTGTTTGTGATGTAGTTTTAATGTGTTTGTGATGTGTATGTGATGTAGTTTTAATGTTTTTCTCCCCTTTTCTTAAACTTCAATTTTGATTTGACTTGCACTGTAATGTTAATGAGAGATTGCAATAAAGTTCTTCATATATTTTGTATATTTCGTGACGAATCTAACGACTTCCGAATCTGATTTACACGTACTGCTGAAAAGAATCACCTGCATAAACTTGTTTTGACTTTTGTCTGGTGGAAGGTGTAACTTTCATTTTATGTAACATTTACATTTACTGGTGTGCCATGTTAATCAATTTCTTATAAGGCCAAAAAAAAAAAATTGTTTGTTTGCCCTCAGTGCCCGCCCATAACTCACTGGAAAAAATTGGGGGCGGAAAAACAAAAAAACTTAAGAAAAATTTTTTTTTTTAGCTTTTTTTTAAACAAAAACAATTTATTTTTTTTGGCCTAATCACCTTGGCATGGTATGCCTATGCTTATTGTTTTCTTATTTCTTATTACAATTTTTTACTGATCATTTGGACTGAAAATACATTCGAAATTAGGAGCGAGAGATTTTTGGAATACTGTACATGTATTATTCTAAGTAGTATAATAACTGTTTTTTTTTACATAACAACATCGCCGAAGAAATATCATTTTAACATCTTTTTTTAGCGTGAGAACAATACTTTTGTGTCATATGCAGCCATTGATCAGACTGTTTGCTTCAAAACTGCCCATGTATATCCATACGTATGCCAGGAACGCTCTATCTATCTGGGATTTTCCACATGCACTTGAGAGTGATTATCTTTTCTAACCACCATTCCTAATGTCCTTATATAATCTTTTTTTCATTCAAAAGGTGCCTATTGAATTTCATAATTTCCCATAAGAAACCCTAGACTTTCATCTATTTCCATAAGTGCCCCATCAATTTCCACTCTGTTTTCATAAGCGCCCCGTTTAAATAAGCGCCCCATTTGAATAAGCGCCCCTCAGAAAGTGCAAACAAATATTTTAAGCTCCCGGGCGCTTATTCTCGCGAGTACAGTATTGATTTAGTAATTGAAATCCATTCTATATTAGATGTGTTAACTCTTTACAAACATGTTGCATTTTTGGGGATTCCTTTATTCGAACATTGTATTTAACTTTCTTTGATGATTTATATATAATTTAACAGTGTTAACGGCTATCTTGATTTATATTATACACAACTATTTGTTTCTAACCGTACTTTTGTGTAATGGAGTGTATCTTGTGGTATTTGAATCTGTTCAATCATGAAACCTCCGTGGTCTAATGGTTATGATGCTCGCCTTGACAGCGAGAGGTCGCAGGTTCGAGCCCCGCCAGAGGCATTTTATTACACAATTTCTTTATTCATTTATTTACAGGACTACATTCGTTGAGAGCTATGCTACACGATGTATTATGTCCTTTATTAGAACATTGTATTTACCTTTCTTTGATGATTTATATATAATTTAACAGTGTTAACGACTATCTTGATTTATATTATAAGCAACTATTTGTTTCTAGCTGTACTTTTGTGTAATGGAGTGTATCTGGTGGTATTTGAATCTGTTAAACCATGAAACCTCCGTTGTCTAATGGTTATGACGCTCGCCTTGACAACGAGAGGTCGCAGGTTCGAGTCCCGCCAGAGGGATTTTATTACACAATTTCTTTATTCATTTATTTACAGGACTACATTCGTCGAGTGCTATGCTACACGATGTATTATGTCCTTTATTCGAACACTGTATTTACCTTTCTTTGATGATTTATATATAAAATTTAGAAAACTTATGCAAGCTGAAAATGTATGATGTACAGTATTCCATTATTTTGCGACATGAAATTTCCATGATTCCTGACTACCTGCGAAATTTGTGAAAGTTTCAGAGCAAATGAAGGACAAAGAAAGATTAGAAGGACTATGAAAAAAAGAGAAGAGAGACATAAAACATGCACAAGAATTGAACTAGAAAAGTATGACAGTGACAGAGAATGGCAGCACGAGGCAGATAAGAAACAAAACAGCTGGAAAAGGAAGCACGAGGCAGATAAGAAACAAAACAGCTGGAAAAGGAATAATCAAAATGATAGCAAAAAGAAGACAAGATAAGGAGAAAAAAAAGTTGTGGATGAAAGGAAAACAAAAGAAATGATATAACAAAGAGTGGATGAGTACAGTAAATACCAAGATAAGAAAAAAAAAATTAGGAATATAAGACATTATAGGGAGAAAATAAGAGAGAATTCGCGAATGGTGGGCGAATAGAAAACTATTAATACATTAAGGTTGGAAGAGAGAGAGAACAAAAGGTTGACAGGAAGAGAAGCAAGAAGAGGATGAGGTGAGAACGGGAGTGAGAAAGAAAAGTGTAGCAATGTGAGAATGAAAATAGGGGAATGGATAATTTAAGAAATTAGACAGTAGCAGGAATGGATGTACTGTATACTTACGAGTCTTTTGTCTCTTCACTTGAAGCATCGGTTCGATTGTCATGCATAAAAAACATACCATGTTTTGGAACAAATTGTGGGTTTTCCGTGTCTTCTTTTTCCTTTTCCTGTAATAAAAGAATATATTTACAGTTCCAAAGTTTTATAAATTGTAAAGAGAACATAATACTGTCTACTGTACAACACAGACAGAACTGTAGCTTGGTAAATGAAAAATTTTAAACAGTTAAACTTGCCCAGGTCTCAAACTCAACTAAAAGTCAATCTCATTTTACAAGCCAAATTGTGTTTTCCATATTAATAACGATATGCAAGACAAATTATATCTAAGTCAAACAATTTTTCAATGCCATTTTGGATTTGACTGTACAGTATTTACAAAATTCTACAGTACAGTATAGCATGCATGTACAATACATTGTATAATCTACATTATGTGTTAAAAATATTTCTGATCAATGATACAAGAGAGAAAAAATATACTGTATTTGAATAAGTTGCATAGAAATTTTTTTTTTATAAAAAATAAAGAATTTTCAATTTTGACTACTGAAATTAAAAACACAAGTTGTATTAGTTTTTTTGAGATTGTTTAAGCGTTTGATTTTTAAATTATGGCTACTTTACACCATCTTGTGTAGAACAAAGAGATTTGATATATCTTTCAACTCTACTATGAGTTTTACTTGTTGGCTGGTCAAAATATGGTTGATAAAAATTTGTCCAAACACAATTATATTTTCTGTCACTATGATCTATTAATACTGTACAAGTTTTAAAACTGAGAAAAACAATTGTGTGTGGTACAGTATAACAGACATTCTTAAAAAATGAAAATCAGGATATATTATTAAGTAATTAATCACAGGTCTTCCTCTAATTAAAGACCAATCCAATTAAAGACCACTTTTCTGTGGACCCAAATTAACGAATGTCTTTTATCTTTATTATTCTAACTAGAGACTAATGCTGCTAAAGACCATAAAAACACTGGTCCCAAGAGCAGTCTTTAACTGGATGGAGACCTGTATACCTTTTCCTCTTCAATCGTTTCTTCTGGCTCTTCTATATCACCATCTTCATATCCTTCACTTTCTATAATTACATCTCTTTCATCCTCCTCCTCTGAAATATTTCCATCAGACTCTACAACCTGTTCTTCTAATCCTTCCTCCTCTTCCCCATCACTAGAGACGCCTCTTCTTCTTCTCACTGGTGCAGTATTTTCAAAATCAGAACCCTCGTCGTCATGTTCATCTTCAGAATTTTCTGTTTCCATTTCTTCAGCTTTTTCTACTTCTTTAGCAGTCAACTTATGACTCTCAGAGTTCATCTCCTCACTTGTTCCTTGAAAATTATCCTCCACAATCATTTCTTGAGGATTATCCTTCCCAGTTTTTCCTTGACTATCATACTCCTCAGTTGTTTCTCGAGGATCATCCTCGTCAGTTGTTCCTTGAGGATCATCCTCCCCAGTTTTCTGGGGGGGAGGAGCGACAACAGGATCAACACAACTACCCGCATATTCACAATCCTCGCTAATATTATTTTGCTCTGTCTTTTCTAAGCTATTGGAATTCTCCTCCAAGGCAGCATCCTGCTCATTATCAACAGATGGCTGCTCTTTACTATTGCCAGGATCTTCGTATTTTGCTGTGGTAGTACTTTCTAATTCATCTGGAATCTCTTGTGCAGGTACTTCTGGCACACTATCATCTACTGTTTCATTTAACTTCATGTTGTTGACAGAATCTGTCACATCAGTCACACTAACATCTTCCTTCTGTTCAGCTTCCATCTAGTGTAAATACAAATTAATGAATAACATTTGAATATTTTATTAAAATTATTTTCATTTCCAGTATTGTGTTTTCCTAATTAAATTTTAACTTTAACTTTAATTGTACAGTATACTTAATAATATTAATTATTAATTAGTATTCTTAATTAAGAATTGTAAAGCGCCTAGAGGGATCCGTGATCTGTTAGGCGCTATATAAATACGGTATTATTATTATTATTATTATTACTTATTATATGAGGCTTTCGGGGATCAAATTTTCCCGCCAAATGCCGTTGAAATGGTCATGTACTGCTGTATTAAGACCCCGGTCTCGACAGCAACATTTTGCCGTTGAAAAAATTACCAAACTTAAACAAAATAGTAATCAAAGTTCTGCATATAGACTTAGTAGTACTTGTGAATTATAAAAATGTTCAATTCTCTATTACTCCATCCAAGAACATACTGCAGCGCAGTGGGCCAGACCTGTCCTGTTGCCATGTGAAACGTTTCGGACACGGACACAGACACAGAAGTCCCACACACAGATAAATGCGGGCCGCCATCTTCCCACTCACAAAAAAGAAAATGTAAATATAGATAAAACGATGGCCGCCGTCTACATCCAATGAGGTTTTCCTGCAGCCAGACATAACGCACCCAGTCACCGGCAAAATACCACTACCAAACATTGTAACAAGTTTTTGGAATGCTTAATACTGTAGAATTCATAATTTGGTCCATTGCCTATGTGTAGTTATTCAAATTATTATACGGACGCTTGTTTAATATATATTAATTGTTTTTGCTTTAATTAATATCATCACAAAAAAATCATGAGACAGAATGTTTCGTCACATGATGACCTGCCAAGAACACTTTTTTCGCACTGCTACCACATCCATCTGGCCACAAGGATTAAACTGTTTCATTTTTATAGGGGTGATTACAGAGTTTTATTAGCATAAATTACATGCATTTTGATATCGAAAATATTATTTAAGATGAGTAGTATGCCTTTTCATGTATTTAATTTATTATAAAATAAATATAATTTTGAGATCGCTTATTTTGCTGACGATAAAATATGTAGGTTCGTACATTGGACCACTATTAAAGTAGGAATTTAGTGTTCAATTTCGTCCTTTTCACACTGCGCTGCTCACCTGCTGTCTCTTATACACAGCT